CCTCCCCTCCAAGAGCACCTCGGTGCCACTGTCCGTGCGCACTCGCTCCTGCCCGGGGCACTCCTGGGGCAGCAGTCACACCTCATCCCTTCCTACATCCTACTTCTTGGCCTGGCACAAAGCCTGGTGCTTGGCAGGTGTGCAAATATTTCTTGAATATTCAGGTTTGTGGACTAAAAGCCACTTTTTGAAAAGAACCGTGGTTCCTGCTTTCTCAGTGCCTGCCACATTCTCCTGCTACTCCTGAGCCCTGTCTCCTCTCCCTATCAAGAGGCTGGTGTCAGCACAAGACCCTCCCTCCCCCCAGCTGCAAGGAAAGCCTCTAGGAACCGAGTGACTTCTCTACCACACACCAGAGTCAGCCACCACCAGGCAGCGCTGGAAGAGTACAGTTTTATTAATAATACACAAATGGGTCACGCCAAAGGGCGCCAGTCTACAGGTTACACCATGTAAAACAGTAGCAAAAACTAGTAAAGCAGAAAATTCGTGTGAAGTGGCTACAAAATGGGCAGATGGACTGAGAACTAGTATTTCCATGGTAAGTTTCTTTTCATAAAATTTTACTTTATGAATTAAATACATTGAGAAACACAATGAAAATATATTTACAGTCATTTAAAATGGGCATTAAACAACATATTTAATTTAAAAAATCTTTCCTGTTTGCCTGTTTCTTTCAAAGAGAATTTTAAATATGACTTTAGCTTTTAAAAAATACAATAAGGAAATAATTACATTCTTAATATGAAAACAATTTACAACTTATAGCCATGGTCAATTAATTCTGAACATCTATAATTTAAAAGTTGATGTTAAAGTTTAAAGTGAATATTTCCTTTCTCATTAGAAAATCAAATTTTAAAAAAAGCATCTTATTAAAAACACCTTTGGTCCCTAAGAATTATGATCTGAAGATCCTGTTTTGAAGACATCTCCCATGGCTACCACTAAAAATACCTGCTACTACCGTACAGGGTAAAGGGAGCTCCCCAGGGACCGTGGCTGGGACAGTCCCACAGTGTGAGGAAGGACATGTCGGGAGCCAAATGTGTCCGAGCTGTAAAGTTTTCCTTCCTTTACAAATGGCGAAGTCGGCCCGCTGTGGCTTGGGTGTTCAGAAATAGAGGTGGTTTTGCTTTTCCCATGATGGTGGGCCAGGTATTCTGACATGAAAATTTTAGTTTATTTATTTTTAGTTACTTCACAGTATGACCCCAGCCCACTACAGGGATAAGAAGTAGTAACAACAAGAACAATATAACTACACCCTTTAAAACTATGTCATGAATTTAAAATCGTTTTTCCTATTAAAGTATTATTTTAGAAAAGGAAAAGAGGAAGGCAAGGGTTTAACATTTAAATGTTGCCATGACCTTTACATAAATTGAGGAACACCTTGTCTGCCGACGCTGATACCAGAGAAGCTTGTGTGTTATGCTCCTGGGAGAGGCCATTTATAAGGATCGGCATCCACTTGGTGGCAGGGCCCCTGTGAGCGCAGGTGTCCGCCCCACATCTGCTCCAGGCCCAGGTGCAGGCTGCAGGTGAAGGCACGTCCCTCTTCTCTGGGAGAGAGGCCCTGCACGTCCCTGGGAGATCTCTAAGAACATGAGTTAGGTGCACAAACAGAGGATGTCACATGGTCTGTGGGCAAAGCTGACATGCCCCCGAGAGCGGATTAGCAGAGTTAATAAACATGGTCTCTTCTGTGACCATACACAACTAAGAATTGCCCACATCCTCCACCCACAACCTCAGCTTCCAAACTGTCCTTTGGAAACCTGTGCACAAACTCTAACTTGTGGCTGCAATGATGTCGAATCTGAAACTCCTTCTCAGAGGTGGCCTACAGAGCAGAGGACACACCCCTTTTGAAATAGACTTTTCAAAAAAGTGACAAATCTCCACTCTATCAGAATAACTTAGCTATTTGGAAACAGCCAAAAATAACCTGGAGATAAGTAAGATGAATAAAGGGGAGCAGGCCTGGCAACACAAGGTATAAGCACAGAGGGGACAGGATGGGTCTTACTGTGTGAACAGCCACCAGGGGTCCCAAGAGAACGGCTCTGGAAGGGCTCTGTGGATGGTAGGGGATCTGGACGTGGGACAATTTGGCAGCTCTTCGATGGCTGCCCAGAAGTGGTGCCACTGCCCCTGGGTGCCGAGTGAGGGAGCTACTGGCTTCTCTGGTACAGACAGAGCCCCCCTCCCTGAGGCCTGTCAGAATCTGGGCAGAGGGAATGCGATGGTCCATACCTGTGCCCAAGTTGGGGGACCAAAGCAAGCCCTTTAACCATCAGAGTTGTTTGTATGAAAAAGGTTGGTTAGTGAATTAAAAACACTACAAAAATATAAAAAGGAAGGGATTTTGAAGGTTGATGAAACCTCACAAAAATACAGCCAGAAGCAGAGCCCTGAGGAATGACCCTCCCTGGGCTCAAAGTTACAATAGGAAGGCCCAGGACTTGCAGAGGTCGACCCCTCCCACACAGCCCACGTGCCCCCTGAGCTGGTCAGCATCCCAGCACAGTGTGGTCAGCACTCTGTGGCCATGAGTGTCTGTTAGTAATGACTGGCACTGCGAAGAAACTGACTTCTCCCGGGAGGTCCTGTACCTCACCCAAGGGGCCAGCGTGCCTTTCCCCACCCTGCCCGGCTTCCTGACAAAATGTGAACAGTTGTGCTCATGGCTGCTCTAGAAACAAGGGGGTGCTTGTTCCTGGGGCACATTTCAGGAGGGTAATAAAATGAGATCACTGCCAGAATTGTGACGTGATGTCTCGTGTGTCTATTATGTACAGATATAAATTAAAAGCTATATTTATTGAACATATACAAATAAATAACTTATTTTGAAGCAAATGCTTTAAACAATTTTTCTGATCAAATCTAAAAATGTCAAGGGGAACAAAAGACAACAGGGACCCTCCTTTCAGAGAACCCGTTTCAGGACATAACAGGATTCATTGGATTTCATCATCCTCTTTAACAGGTCTATGGCTGTGAAAGTGATTTACAAACATGGGTTTATAAAATAAAATATGTATGCTGGGAGTCTGGCCCCAGCTAGCTGTGTTCCTGGACAAGACACAGCCCAAACTGCAGGGCCCCCATCTGCAGAGTAATAACGTGGCCGGGCAGTGGCCAACGGCCACATGCTGTGCTTTCGGCCCATGTCCTGCCAGCTCTCTGAAGCCCACCTATGCTGGGCCAGAACCGAGAATTCAGGCCGGTCGTAGTTTCCCTCCTTAATAACAATCAAAACCTGCATAGTTCTCCTGGGGAAAGACAGCTGCCAGTTTAAACAGCCCAAGAGTCTTAATTTGGGAAATTTGATTTGACCTGAGGGCAGTAAGATATATGGTAGACTAAACTGTTTTCCCTTTTTAAAAAATTAGTTTCATATGATACAAAGCAGTTACAGCTTCCTATGATGAAAAGACAAGTCCCCACTGGGGAAGGGTCCCTCCTGGCAACAGCAGGCGGTGGGCCCTGACAAGTCTGGGAAACTTCTGCCCCTGCCATCCCCACTGGAGTTCCTATGGGAAGCTAATGCAGTCAGCGCTGGGGCCATGGGTCTCGGGTACTGAAGTGGGAAGGAAGGAGCTTCAGAGGGAGAATGCCAGTTGATAGCTCAGGAGCCCAAAATGCTCCTGGCAGATGGCTTTGCAATAAATTCAAGTTTTAGGTGGACTTAAGCTAAGCAGCTTCCAATTCTTACTGTAAAATGTTCTTACACACTGGAGACTACTTTCCTGCCCTAGTAAGTAAAATCAAATACGGTCCAGCAGGGTTCAAGTGCCACGATATTAAGCATTACTCCTACTGGTAAAGGCCTGTGGACTGAAGGGCTGGCCCTAGGATGTGCTCCAGGAGGGAACTTGCAGAGACCATTTTCTTGCCACCTATTCCTATATTTGATAAAAATAATATTCTAGATGGTGGGTGAAAGGTTTGCATCAGGAGCAGCATCACTATGGTCCAACATGGTCCCCGTGCATCAGTCTGCTTCGGGGGACACATACTTTTATTTCCTCATGGGTGACTGCATTTTCCCATAAAAGAGAGTTCCTAACAGTGTCCCTCTGGAGACCAAGACATTAATATGATTCTTAGACCTGTGGGTAGAAACCAGCTATGAACTTGGTTTTTCTCTCTAAACCTTAGGCATAGAAGTCTCCCAGAAATATTGCACAGAAGGTGAGCAGAGAACCACCGAAAAGGCCCCACCTTTGCCTGCCATGCTCAGGAGAGAAGAGCAAGGCCAAGTTCACTGCCCTGTACATGGCTTAATTTGGAAACCGGAGGGAGGGGTGACAAGCCCTCAAAGGCCCACCTCTTGCTCCAAGGTGTCATACTTCTATACCTGGGTAAGTTCCAGAACTTGCTCCTTTTTCAAAGGACTGCTCCAACCCCAGGCCTCAGTGGGTGCCCTGTAAGTAGACCAGTAGCCTCTCCCAGCTGGGGAGCAGCTCCTGCCAGCTCTGGAGTGGCCCAGGTGGGGGTGAAGTGTGACAAGCTCTCTGCTGCCTTTCAAGAGCAGCACAAATAATTAATAAGATACAGAATCTCTGGGAAAATTCTTAGATCTAAGTGTGACACATAAAACAAAGAGACATTTTTTAAAAAATAGGTTAAAAAGAATGGCAGCTTTTCATGTCCTGGTGACAAAAGCATCTGTCTAAAAAAAAAAAAAAATTAAAGGGTAAAAACTGCTTCACAGCGTGGTTTCCTCACTCTAGTGAGGAGAGGGACGGGACATGAGCCCTGGGCCTCCGGGCAGCCGTGCTCAGTGCTCCCTGCCACTCACACCCACACCCAGAGCACCTGGGGTCTGGCTCTTCCATGGACCCATCCATCTTCAGCCGGGGCCGGGTTGAAAGTGGGCAGGGCAATCAGAGAGATGAGACTTCTCCACCTGGCGCAGGTTGTTTTTACAATACCTTTTCATCCCTTTTGTTTTTGTTTTTTTAACAAAGTTGGAAACCAAGTCCTACAAGTACATTTTTTAAAGGGCACCAATATACAGTAGAAGGAATACATGTGAGCCGGGGTAGGTGCTGGTATCAGAACTCAAATGGCAAGGCCTCCGAGGTCACGCCGCGCAGGGCAGCCTGGGCAGAGCTTCCTGCGGTCACAGGGGCGAGGATATCAGGTGAGGTAAGCAGTCCCTGGCTGAGGCTGACACAGTCGTGCCTATTCCTTATGTCCCGTTCTTCAGTTCCCATTCCTAGAGAAAAGGAGAGAGGTGTAAAGCCAAACACAAAGGTATTAGCTGAGACATTCATGCTACACCCCACTAACACTGGGTGCTCGGCTGCTGCAGAAAATAGCATGGTGGTTCTCAAAAATATTGGGCTCACAATTCATTACCACATGACCGAGCAATTCCAACTCCAGGTATTGACCCAAAAGAATTGAAAAGCAGGGCTGCAAGGAGATATCTGCACACCCATGTTCACGTCAGCACTATTCAGACTAACCAAAAGATGAGAACCACCAAAAGGTCCAGTGATAGATGAGAGGATGGAATAAAACGTGTACACATAAGGTAGAATGTTATTCAGCCTTAGAAAGAAAGCAAGTCCTCGCCCAGGCTACAACCTGGATGAAGCTAAAGGTTGTTTGTATTCTTGAAACAAGCCAGTCACAGAATAAATTCTGTAGGATTTCGCCTACATGCGATCCTTGGAAGAGTCAAGCTCACAGAGACAGGAAGTAGAATGGGGGGTGCCTGGCTGGGGGTAACAAGGGAGCTGGTGTTTAATAGGTGTAGAGCTACAGCTCAGGAGGAAGAGAGAATTCTGGAGGTGAGTGGTGGTGATGGAGGGGAGTGGTGGAGATGGAGGGGAGTGGTGGTGATGGCGGTGAGTGGTGGTGGTGGAGGTGAGTGGCGGAGATGGAGGGGAGTGGCGGAGATGGGGGGAGTGGCGGTGATGGAGGGGAGTGGCGGTGATGGAGGGGAGTGGTGGTGAAGGAGGGGAGTGGTGGAGATGGAGGGGAGTGGTGG